TAAAATAGATGACCTATTGTACCCATGAAGGCGTTTACCTGATTTGGTGCATTTAATTTACAAAAAGCGGCATTATCTATTACCTTTGTCGTTCCTAACATATTTTGCTTGGACTAAATATAATGCAAGCCGGTCGCCAAGATCATATTATGTAGAAAGTCTATTTCATGATTATCTACTTCCTGGCATATACAAGCTAGTTCCTGCGTCGCTAAGTGAATCACACCTACTCGTAATAATTCAATTTTTAAATTCTTATTGGGAAATGACAAAGTGTTATCAATGAAAATATCGTAACATTTCAAATTCTCAGTGAACTTACATGTCTAAATAATCCTCTAAAATAACGAAACTTTATTATAAGAATTGATTTAGAACAGGCGCATTATCTAATTGTACCTTTCCTCTGAATGGTTTCGATGAACAAATGATAAGAGTTTGTCATTCCTTATAAGTCGTCAAGAAATCTAAATGAGAAATAATCGCTTCAAACGTTTAACGGTCTTCATTAATACGTGCTTGACTGTAACAACACATTTGTGGAATACGGAAACTGGCATGTAACATTTCCGGAAGTATCAATCTCGCCCTCGTTTCGTAGTTCATGAATATGACCAAATGCACTAATAAACAGATGCTTCTTTCAAAAGCAACTTGATAGATTCGACTAGTAGATCAAAAATTGCTTTCCTTTGTAGAGCGCTCAAGTTCATTTTCGTTGTGTATTCGGGCTTTTCTGTTCAATATCACGTTGTGTTAGTTGAGTGTTGTTGGCTGTCTTTGAATTGTTTGTCTTTCGACCATTTCGTTACTTTTCTGTCGTCGACTAATAAAAAAGAAAAGTTCTCTCTTTTTCTATGTATCATCTACCATAGGAATTTTAAAATGACATGTCCATATTTGAACAACAGACAAGGGTAAAACCAAACACTCATCAGAGATATTATGCTTATAATTTGGTACACTAGACCGTGTCTACACAAGATTCATCAGTGACGCTAGAATACATAAAGTAAGAAAGCCAAAAGTACGAAATTGAAGAGCATTGTGGACCCAAATTCGGTAATTCGGAAAAGAATAGGGAGTAATTTTACCTCAAAAATTGAACCTTAGAAAATACAATTGCTAATTTTTCTGGTCCGTCTAGTGGATGGTTGAGGACAAAAACCAGAGCTAAATATCTATATTATCTATATTGAATCAATCAGTTGTATCTATTTTGTGTCAATAATTAAAAAATCTTCAATTGTAAGCAATATCTAATAAAAAAGTTTAACAAAAAAAACACAGTCCATAAAAACGGACAAAATCAAACGTAATCAACAAACGAGTTGAAAACAAATGTTATATTCCACGACAGTTGCCGATCTATGAGTTTGACTGTGTCTCTGGTATCTTTCGTCCCTCTTTTGCCACATGTGGAGCTTACTTTTCCGGAGCACCCGAGATCATCCCCAGTTTTTGGTTGGGTTCGTGTTGCTTAGCCTTTAGATTAGTAATTTAAAAGGCTTGGTAGAGACCGAAGTAGAGATATACAACATAAAACTAGTTCATAAAAACGATAACATAATTTAATGATCATGTTTACATACAAATATGGATTTTTCAGCCCTTCGCTGGACGTTTTCCTTTAAAAAAAATTAATTATTATCAAATTGTATGATCCATCACAACGCAGTTTACAAAAAAAGGAAACTGCTTACGTAACATTAAAGATGGTGTGTAACTAAAGAGCGTGCTAGTATGATCCAATTGCACCTATTTTCCTGTTGACTAGAGTACGACCTAAAACAAATGTGGTTAGAGGCTTTTCAGTGCAGATGCGTAATCATGCATTTACCGTTACGCCGTATAGTAAATATCACTTTTCTTCAGAAAAAAATTGAAAAAATGTTTGTTTTGTTAAACGTGAGGTTGATTCCATGCCCTACTGATTCAGAATAACTAGAAAAAAAAAAGAACTTTCGAAATGTTTGGAACATTCGTATGTGTAAAAAGTATCCTGCAGAAATAAATATAATGATTAGATATTAATATTGGGCTTTGCCAAAAAGAAAAGAATAAAATAAACACTTCAAGTAGATGAGGGATCCTCCGTCATCTTGTATTATAACTGTAAAATACCAGAAAACAGTTGGTCTTTAATGAAACATAAATGCGACTTATTTGTCAGAATAAAGAAAATAAGTTTTATCTTTTTAATACGACTGTTTTTAAAAAATAGAATAGATTTTGTTTGATATAAATTTTAACAAAGTCATATACGGGGATCGATAATTTAACTGAATAAAGGAATTTATAGTAGATTTATTATTTTGATTTGTAGCAAGAAAACGAGTTCAATGTCCCGATTATTTTTCTAACTGAACATATCTTTCTTAAATGCTCGTTAAAAAATGAATAAATCAAGAAATAGATTTCAAGAAAGTAAATAAATGAATGATTAAAACCTGTATTGGTATTTTCTTTTCTTTTCTCTTTGTTTTTTTTTATTGTACAACCTGTGTTGTTGACCACATGACCTTCAGAAATTCTAAATTCCTACACAAGGGAAAAAGTAGAATCCAACATAATTCTTTTTTTTCAAATTAAAACAAAACCGGAAGTATATGAAGAAAGTTTTTTGTAAAGGGGCCAGCTGAAGTCCGCCGCCGGGTGCGGGATTTTCTCGCTGTGTTGAAGACCCATTGGTAGCCTTAATCTGTTTTCTGCTCTTTGGTAGGGTTGTTGTCTCCTTGACACATTCCCCGTTTCCATTCTTAATTCTATTTGATGAATGAATTTCATAATGATTCGTACGTTCATATTACACACTCATTTGTAATTGTTGGTCAGTTCGGAACTTGGAAGTGGTGATTCATGAATCAAAACAATCAGAAAATTAAACAACTATAACAGTTTCCCGAATTGTATTACTGAAAATTGATAATCAAATTATAGAGTAGCATCCGTGAATGGCAGCTTACTGTGTAATAAAGGATCCACTTGTTCTTACCTTAGGAGGGACAAACATTTTCAAAAACAATGAAGATTTAGCAAAATTTGCTGAAGCTTTCGAATCTCGTCACTGCATCTAACCTTTTGTTAAGCTAAAATTGATTAAAACGCCTATATATCACTTTTTTAAATTATAGTGCTTTGCATCGACAGCAGCCAATTTTGTCCGATTGTTGCTTTTTGATTGAGTGCACATTCGTATGGCGGGAGATGCATGCACAGCATGAGACACTTACCTTTTCAACGTACCGGTTCTTGCTCCATTTAGTAGTCAATGCGATTCCCTTAGTTTTTTGGTTTTTTTTTTGTTACCTTGATTATTTTAAGGATGTATTCTTCTGACGTTTCAGTCTCGTTGAAATCTCGTTCTGGAATTATTTCCAAAATATGTGATACAAGTGGAAACTATCAATGAATTTCAAAAATGTTATAATTAAACTTAACTCAGTGAAAAAAATTGTGTATTTACAATGAGTAGTTTTTGAGTAATCAATTTTTCAAATTTTACGACCAATCAAGTCAGTCTTTTTAGCCAAAATTTTGAGAAAATGGGTGAAGGGTACAAAAAATGATTTTACCAGAATCATGTACATTCCATATCATTTTTTTCTTTTCAAATTATTTAGATATAGATATAAGAAGATGTGGTATGAGTGCCAATGAAACAACTCTCCATCCAAGTCCAAATTTATAAAAGTAAACCATTAAAGGTCACAGTACGGTCTTCAACACGGAGCCTTGGCTCACACCGAACAGTAAGCTATAAAGGGCCCCAAAATTACTAGTGTAAAACCATTCAAACGGGAAAAACCAACGGTCTAATCTATATAAAATACGAGAAACGAGAAACGCTTATGAACCACATCAACAAACGACAACTACTGAACATCAGATTCCTTCAATCATTTATAACAAAAAAGTTGAAATAATATGCATTTTGTTCTTCAAACTGAGAAAAATCAAAACTGACAGCATGGTAAATTTGACACAAAAAAGCATCAAAATTTGATAAAACTTTCTTATATTAACACCTACCTATAGTTTTTTTTAGTTAAATTTATTCAGATTGGTCCACTTCATCTTTATTGAAAGTATGAAAAAAGTTTAATTGTGGAACTGTGATTTTTTTCACGATTATAGCCCACAAATAGGTAAAAATTGATGAAAAATTGGAAAATCATCAAAATTGGGTACTTTCAAAGGGCCGTAGCAAAATAAGAAGTGCACCACCATAAGATTTTTTTCTTTACCAATTATTTTTTTACAGTCATATAAACCCAAAAATCAGGTTAAGAAAAAAAGTTTAATTCTAGAAATGTTTGGCTCCTCAGAGGTGTACATCCTTAACTCGATTTACGAGATTTCAACGTCGGTAACTTCTATCATCTCAATTTTAAACAGGTATACGATTAGCAAAGGATAAAACTGGTGTTAAAAGTATGAAATAACAGAATCAAATCGGTAATTGGCAAAAAGACTTTTAATAACATTTTATCATTGAATCCATTGACGCAAGGTAAAAACAACCCACGTGAACAAACCGCTCTGGAAAGATATGTTTTAAAGAAAATCATATTGCATTTAATTCAAACCTATCACAGCGACAGAGTTTCATCAGATGAAAAGATTGCTTACATTCTAAATAAAGCATTTAAGGTAGTATGGGTTTCTTCCTCCATACTGGATTGTAAAATGCAGAACAAAATCGGTCTAGACTTTTAATTAATTCAGCAAATTTCAATGTAGGAGTGCAATGCAATAAAAAGAATTTTCATGTAATTGAACAATGACATTTGATTTGAAGTCTGAATAAATATTTTTGATTACAAAGTAGAATATTTTTGATTGATTTAGATTTGTTTTTAACTTTGCATATTAAGGGGAAATAACCCAGAAAATAGTTCAATTTATAAAGGACAAACAACAATACACAAAACACAATCGACAAACCTCGAGTTGCAGCAAAAACAATTGAAAACACATGAACAATAGCAAAGACAATACAAACATCAAAATATTTTATTTTCAAATCACGTCGCCAACAATGAGCGTAATAATAACAGACATTATTATATGAAAAATAAAATAAAGATAGATTAAACAAAGTATAACATGAATAGTTTTGATTATATTGATTCACATTTAATATTTAAGTCATTGAAAAATTAAGTAAGTGGTAATGTTCTTTCTTTTGTGGTTAGTATGCCATATAATTTAAGATTACTGTCTTTAAAATGTGCTTTTATTTCAATCTTGATAAGCAATATAATGGTATAAGACCATTCTTTATTAATGCATTGTGTCAAAACAAAATCATGAAAAATGCATGTGTTTCTTTTCGTCCAGGTGCGAAGCTATTAGTTTCATACGATATTTATGACATCTTGAAATTATTGCTAAACAGATATCGGAACTCATTGGGTGCCTTATGATGTGGGATAGATTATATTGGTTAAAATGATATATAGAATTAGAAACATGTCCCGGAAAGGAGAAGATATTCAATACGGAAAACATTACTGTATTGGTATTCAAGATTCATCCGATACTCGATAGCCAAACAAGTTTGCCTTTACTGGTTTACCTTGCTATATAATGTCGCGGCAAATTCGTATTCATAAATAAGAGGAGAGACATACATGAACACGTTTATGAGTGCTCATAAAACGAACAGCTTAAATACACATTTCTGCCAATAATCTTTAATAATTTTGTCAAAATACACGTACATGTATTCCATGTTATTAGGCCAAACAATACGTCAAAAACGGTTACGCCAAGAGCACATGATACCCCGATTTGCACATTAGAACTTTTGTGAGAATGATGTGGAATATCTAATAACAAGTTAGTTAGATGGATGTGTTGGGAAATGTGCACCAGAATATCCACATACAAATAAATGTGTCTTCAGACATGGCTGTTAAAAATCCCATACTCTGGAACGACAAACCTTAAAGCTTTCAAAAACCAAAGCGAGTCTTGAATCACCAATACAAATAATATTATAATGTTTGTTCTAAATCAATCCAAGCATACTTGATCTGGTGCATGATATGTAGAATATTATACATTTATTTCTCTGGCCTGAGTGAGGGATATAAAGATTTGTTGAACCAAGAAAATTCATGTTTCCGAAGGTTTCACCCAATTGTAGGATGACAATTCACAAATTTTCAAAATATTATGGTATCTCTATAATGCAACCACCAAATTTGTGTTTAAATCAAATGGAAGCTTTCTTTCTTATATTAATCCTTATATACCGTTTAAATTATGTGGTTAAACAATAAACAAATTTGAACTTTTTGTTGGACATATTCATAGAAAAAATACCATGAGACGTCCCATCTAAAACGGACTCATAATACCAGACGTATGAGTATATGCACAAAGGAGATAAGTAACACATTTCCCACATTTAAACAACCCCAATAACCACATCTTACTTAAAAGTATGATACATCGGAGCACTCCACAGCATTCCGAAATCTAAACATTGGTTTTAATTGTTTTATCTATATTTATAACGTTGTGAACATCAACTGTTCCATTCACAAACTTTTCTATAACATGTAAGTCTGTACATTCGTTGGTATTATTAGTTGTAGAACTGACTTCTAATACTACATTTCAAAATTTGTCTTTTTATTACCAGTATCTAACCCTGATTTGACCAAACATCTTCGAAAAGCATGAGGTGTGTTTAATTTAACTTTGAAATAATCATTTATTATTTAAAACTGTTTAACGCTTAAGAAAAACTGATATTTCTGGAATTATTACCCAAAATTTTTGAGATCTCAGAACTCTTATTTGAATACACTTTGTTTTATTTGTATTTGCTCTCTTAGTAAAGTTTTGAACATCAATTGTTCCATTCACAAAATTTCCTATAATGTTGTAGTCTGTGCAATCGTTGGTTTTATCAGTTCTAGAACTGACTTCTAATACTGCATTGTAAAATTTGTCTTTTGGAAATCTATCTAACCCAGATTTGACAACAATTCTTTGAATAACCTGAGGTGTTTTAAATACAACTTTAAAATAGTCATTTTTCTTCGGACCAACTTCGGAGGAAAAGTAACCAAAGTCTGTATTGTATGCATTTTCAGGTGAATATTCAGGGCGGAATTTTAAATTGGTCAATACCGTTGCTGGTGGATTTTCTCCTTTCAACGTCTTACGAAAATTTGCCATAAAGAATTGATCTTTCGCTAACATTATTTTGCCCTGAAGTGACGAAGTTTTTCCTATATGCTGAAAAATAGTTGGTTTTCTAACAATACGTCTAAATTGCAGCATTTGAGGATTGAAATAAAGAAAAGTTACGTCTGCAGGCTGTTCTTCGTAAAATAAAGCTACCATTTTGGCTAGTGCATCTAGGTCTTGTGTATGATACAATTTCGCTATCATTCCTAGAACCGAGAACTCTAAACATGTCCATCTTTTTTTTTGGTGATTGACAAAGTTTTTCATAATTTTGATATAGTCTGGAACTGTTACAACATCATCCTCAAGATGAAGATAATAATGTGAGAGTTTCGATTTGAATACATACAACCACAATAGAACAAAGTCTATGTTCTGTTTTGATTTCCATTCGACTTTATTTTGCGAATGACCTATATAATGGTGAGTGAGATTCTGTAACCTTGGATACATCCAATGAAAGCTTGTTATTATTTGTATTGTTCCATTTTTGACTTCGTCAGGGTATTTAATTTGAATTGTGGAAGATATGTTTTTTCTCCATTCTTCGTCAAAATCAGACAGCAATATTATGATGTAGATGTCCAGCAAATCCTTACCATTAGCATTTGTAATGAGAGAACTCAACGTATCGAAGAGGTAAACAGTGTTGTTTCGTCGCTTTGCCGTCACCATACCTAACGTTAAATATCCTACAAAAGATGCATACATTATGTTATATTGTTAAACAGAGATTCTGAAAGTGTCCCGGTTAGAAGAGGGTTGAGCGCCCCGCTTAATTCTAACATAAATGTGCTCTTAATTCTAGAGTTACATATCCAAAATCAGGGACCTGTGATTCATTAGTTGCCGTTGGTTTATGTCTGTCAAACTTGTGTTTACTTTATTGGTTTGTCATAAAACAGGCCACTTTTTTATTTCAATTGAATAGTTGTTTTATATTTTGCAATGTCGGAGCTGATCTTACGGTTGGGTTCCGTTGAAGACCGTCTACGGTGACCTATAGCTGCTTAAATCAACGTCATTATACATCTCCTTATCTTATGTATTTCCTAATTATGTATAACTAGAAGAAGCAAACAACAATTTTCAGTAAATTCAAGGTTTATGAATAATTTATTCGAACTGAATTCAATGTTACAACTCCCCACATCAAAGTCGATTAGTCGGAATTTCGGCTGACCTGTTAAGTATGTTCGCTCCTCTTGTTTTTGAATTTGTGCCAGATATTCGGAATCCTCTGGTTTTATCCATGTAGTGCCACTAAAAAATGTTGCCTGCTAACACACACTTTTCTTTTCATAATTTTATTACATATAGTTTAAAAAGCCATATTTGAAAATCTTAAAAAATCCTTGTTATCTTTTCATGGTTTTTGAAAAAAAACAGGTGCCAATGTTAAATGTATGAAAAATCTAGAGAGAATGATTTCCCGCGAAATTTTCAATGGCGTATAACTTGAAAACAAGCACACGGACCCTTCATTGTTTTCTGCTTTTTAGTTCCTTTATTTATATACTATCAATTTGTAACAGACTATTTTGAAACAGAGTAGGGTACATCCTTCAGCCGAATTGTTTTATACACTCTGAAATAGTTAACATTTTCGGCGTCGCAAACAATATACATGAGGTAGTTTGTTACAGAGGATTTCAATAGGGAGTCCTTTACTTTAATATTCTTTCATTTTCAATGTTTTTCAATAATTCGCGTCGCAAATTCGACAATTGGCATCAAACGTCTTATTAAGTTTAATATTAAAATAAGGAGATTCTGTATGATTGCCAATGAAACAAGATAAGGACAAGACTATTTAATGTTCTCGTTTTCCACTTTTCCTAAATACTCCATAACATCTCTGCCTTTTCATATTCATTGCGTCAAAACTGTTACGAAAATCCTCGTGGTTTCCAATATTCTATTAAAAAATCTTTAAAAACTTTTGGCAACACATTTTCAAATTCATCTAGTTTCTACAACATTTTTCATATATAACTCGAAATTCATTGTTTTTTCATATTACAAATTCCTCATTTTTACCCCCAAATATTTATTTTTTTCAAATTCTAAAGAAGAGAACCAAAACACTATCTTTACTTAGTCTAGTATTTGTTCATATTTGTGATGATGATAAATATTCTTTTTGAAAGGATTTTTTTTTTTATTTCAGATTCAATAACATTTATGGTATCAATTAATTGCACCAAATATCCTTTTAGTGAGAATATGTATTAACTTCCAAAGACATTTCTTTTTAAAATTTTAATGAGGTTACTTTATATTACGTTTTAATTTCATGCATTGCAGACATTTATGCATTTCTTTATTTCTTAAACAGACCTTAAACAAATCATTTTCTTTCATGTTCGAAATTAATCTTAATTCTACGATAGGTAATTATCCATTTTTTAAAAGGGACAATAATTATAGCCGACCTTGAAATAGATTGGTTTTTGAGTCATCACAAGATAAAAATGCACTTGAAGATAAAAATAAATTCGGATCATTTTATAGATGGTGTTTCAAATTATTCGGGAATGATAAGATGAAATTATTCATTTCATTAGCAACGTGACAAGTGCCAAAATGAACAGGAACTGTTTACTCCACTGGAGTAACTGAGATCACCCGTAGTTATTGGAGATGTTCGAGTACACAGTCTTTCGTTTTCTATACAGTGTGTTGTGGACTTGTTTGTCTTTTCGTCGTCTTTTGGCCTTGACATTGTCAGTGTCTCTTATTTTGTGAGGTTGAATGTCGGCTTGTTATCTTCTGCCTCTTATCTTATTATTTGATTGCGTTACTTCATGGCCGGGGGGAGAGGGGGGTTCACTTCCTATTATTGGGTGTACGGGGATGTGTAAAAAATATGGGTCATACTTTTGCGAGATTTTATATAAAAAAAAATCGTAAGGATTCCGCGGAACCCAGTGCCTCGCCTACTTTTGCTGTTGTCTATGTCTTCAGTGTTGTAGGGGAATGCACATAATAGATTTACAGTTAATGAAATAAAACGTTTGAATTGTTAAAAAATGAATACAGTATGCAATCAAATCTATAGATTTATAAACGAGTTGAAACAATAAATTTATTGAATGAACAAATGATAAAGAAGATAATTTTTACATTTTCCTCTAGATACTGTCTTTTGATTGTAAGAAGCTTCTGTCCAAGTTTGGTAAAAATCAAGGATAGTTTATGAATCTAATAAGTGTCTTAAAAACTTTAAATGCAGACTGTATGTAATGTTAACTGGAAGGAAAACTAAGTCCATTTATAAGAAATATACGGAAAAACAGGAAATAAATTTTTACAAAATTTCCTTCTAGATACTAGCTTTTGATCATAAACAATCTTCTGTCCACGTATGGTACAAATCCAGGATAGTTTAAGAAAGTTATCAAAATTTTCAACACTTTAACCACAGAGTGAATGTAATGTTAACTGGTAGAAAAGCTAAATCCATTTATAAGTAAAATACGGATAAACAGGAATTTTTTTTTACAAAATTTACTTCTAGATACTATCTTATGATCATAAACAAGCTTCTGTCCAAGTTTGGTAGAAATCCAGGATATTTTAAGAAAGTTATTAAAATTTCAAAAACTTTAACCACAGAGTGAATATTTGTGGACGCATATGGTTTGAGTTTATATAACAGTTTAATTTAAGTTAGAAGGGAAGACTGCTTGTAAATTGCCAGTCTCTGGGAGTACTAGTCTCCTTGTCGCCAGTAATGAAATATATATCGTACGCTGATCATTATTGTTACTATACAGTTTTAGGGTAGTGATGTAGATATACTTTACCGTAGCTTATTTTGATTATTTTATCTATTATATTGCTCATATAATTCAAATTATGTGTTATGCGTATTTCTAGAACTTGACTAATGTTGCAGAATAGTACTGAAATATGGATTGAAAGTATCGATAATTATTGAAAACAGCCCATCATTGTTATACAAAACAGACAACCCTGAGTTATACTAATTTACGAATATAACCCGATTTTCTCAGGACTACAGAATGGTGGGGGAGCATATATACTTACGTTTATTCGTATCGCCTTGTAATTTCCACAGTGAAGCGTTTTCTGTCCAGTTTGGGTATAGTTCGTCCAAATTAAATCTTGGAAATAAGGAACGACTTGGAGTTGATTGTGTTTTGTCCTGTTGATTCTAAGGAAAAAACAATATTCCATAAGCAGTACCTTATACACTTTCTACATGAGGAAATGCCTCTACCAAGTCATGAATATGACAGTTGTTTTCCATTCGTTTCATGTGTTTGAGCTTTTGATTTTTTCATTTGATAAAGAACTTTCCATTTTGATTTTCCTTGGAGTTCGGTATTTATGAGTATGTTATGAACATTTTAGTTTCGTACTGTTATAGAAAATGTAACCTTTATATTTGTTTTGCAGATTGTGATTATATTTATATTTTACAATGCTTGGATCTTACAGATAACAATATAATTATAAAAAAGCCAAGTCTGTCAGCAGGGCAAGAGATTAATCCTCTTCTTTAATACGAAGAAAAAATTACTCGATGACAGTCGATGAGCTTATGAATCATAGATAAGTATCAAAATAGGAACTTTAATTGATTTGCAAAAAAAGAACAAAAAAATAATGGTTGTTTTTTTTAATATTGGCTGAAAACAAATTTAATTCTTTAGACTCAAACCTGACTACTGTCACAACATCGGCAATGTAAGTCGACCCTTTCGTGTATGAATCGTGTACGATGCATGTATCACGTATCATGCATATATCACGTGTCATGCATGTATCACGTGGCATGGATATATCACGTGTCATATAAATAAGAAGATGTGGTATGAGTGCCAATGAGTCAACTCTCCATCCAAGTCACAATGTATCAAAAGTTAACAATTATAGGTCAAAGTACGGCCTTCAACACGGAGCCTTGGCTCACACCGAACAGCAAGCTATAAAGGGCCCCAAAATGACTAGTGTAAAACAATTCAAACAGGAAAACCATTGGTCTAATCTATATAAAAAACGAGAAACGAGAAACACTTATGAACCACACCAACAAACGACAACCACTGAACAACAGGCTCCTGACTTATCACATGTCATGCATGTATCAGGTTTAATGCGATTCGAAATGCATGTATAAAAGTAAGTAAAATAAAGGAAAATGACAAAAATAGTTTTAATTGAAGCATTGGTCGCTGTATATATCCTCCCATTATTGATGGTGAAGAGACAGTAGTAACTTGAAAAATAAAACAACAAAGTTCAAAATGAAAATAAAACTTAAAGACGGGTGCCACATGAGAAGTAGGCTCTGCTTACCATTCCGAATCACCTGAGATCATTCCCGGTTTTTGGTGGGGTTCGTGTTGCTCAGTCTTCACAATGCTTTAGGTTTCTATCTTTTTTTTATACCGGCGTTTGTCTTTGGGTCTTTTTCTTTTTTGCCATGGCATTGTCAGTTTATTTTCGACTTATCAATCTGACGTTATTTACGGTTTTTCAATATTCCGCGCTATACCAATTTCAATCGTATTGCTCCGTTAGAATTGTTTGTCACTCGTGTAAGATATATTAACCAGAAGTAAGTAAGTTCGGTAAGGGCCATATTTGGCCTCGATTATTAATTTAAATGTTTCAAGACAAAAAATCTTTTAAGTTGATAAATAGACATGCGAGGAAGTTAAATAGAACTATTTTCGTCAAAGTCTTTTTTTAAGCGTTGAATTTTACATTCCAAATAGGTCAAAAATAGAGAGTTTTACAAAATTTGACAAAATTGTTCGGTTTTCAATCAAATATAGGCCTAGGAAACATAAAGCGCAGGCGTCGACAAACTAAATATTTAAATGAGATATAAAAATATGTCATAACAAAATTAAATAAAAAGATCTTTTTTGTCGACGCATGTGCTCTGTGTTTCCTGCCCAAAAAAATCAATTAAAGATACCGGAACTTAAAATCTAATGCATACATTTGATTGGATGCTAAAAGGTTACTGAACATGACCCGTTCTGGGATGTTTTCAGATCTTAAACAAACGACAAACATATAGAAGAGACCAAAGAGAAACATATGATTCCAGTCAGATTGTACCGATTTTTACTAAATATCACTATTCAATAGACTATTTTCATAATACCGACTTTTGACTCTGTATTATATAATTTGTCGACTGGTTACCTTGGACATCATGGTACCAAGTCAGGTAAGAGCAAGCTAAAAAAGTAAAACCAAGCGTTCAATCGGTACAATTTTGGGGGAAAATTACCTGCTTAACATTTTTTTTCACTACAAAATCATCGGAAAACAATAAACTTTCCCCTCAAATTACACCGATTATATGTTTGATTTTACTTATTTTGGTTGCTCTTAATTGACCGAGTACCATGATGTCCAAGGTAACCAGTCGACAAATTATATAATCCGTAGTCAAAAGTCGGTAATATGAAAATAGTCTATCGTAAGACGGAGGATGCACGAATATTTGGAGATGCTTTCTATGGGAATGTTTATGATTTCACTTCATTTGCAATATCATTTGGATTTTGTTACACGTCCTGGGCTTAGGGACCGGTTATTATTCATCACAAGGGGAGCCAGCAAATTATTTTGAAAGTTTGAAAAATATTAAATGAACTCTCTTTCTACTTTTGTAAAACATATGTGACCCCCCTTCTAATAGTGTCAGAAAAATATTGACCCATCTCCCAAACCTTTCCTCCACTATGCCTTAACCTATCACAACTGTACGACAATCCATTGTACTCGGGTAAAACATAAATACAATAAACAAATAGTGTTGATAATAAATTTTTTCAATTCTGCTTTTATTGGTTTAAATTGCTAATCAAATATAAAAAAAAAAAAACTACAGCTATTGAAACAATATAAAATGTATTATTAGACACCAAGTGGTGTAAATATCAAACAAAACAGATGTTATAAATGTTTGTTGAAAACAAAATATAAGGATTACACATACATGTAGATTCAAAGCTGTAATGACTTTTATTATTGATGATGATGACTGTAAAACAGATGGGAGTTTGCTTCAAATATCATTTAGGAGATTTTATTAAACGGAATTATGAAAAGATACATATACTGTGAATTCATTTATTTTCGTGGGTACCAATTTTCGTGGATTGAGGAAAACTTTCGTGGGTATTTGATTTCGTGGTTTTGCAAAAATCTGCATATATTCTTATAGAAAATATGTAATTCGTTGGACATTGAAATTCGTGGTTCCCAGGTCACCACAAAATCCACGAAAATTGGTATCCAACGAATAATAATGAATCCACAGTATAGGTCCATGTAAATGAGAACCTAAACAGAGCAAAGATCGGTATTCATCTTTGATGGGCAAAAAGGGGGGCTATGTATAGGTAATAAACATGCTTTCCTTATACAAAACTTGTAAAAAAAAAAAGTCCATTGAAAAAGATTTTTTTTAGATTTTAATCTGATAGATTTACAATGTCTTAAATACATTTATACAAGTACCATTTATTTCCAAACTTATTCAGATTGAATCTTTTTATGTTTCTACCGCTTCTAGTTGTAAATGAAACCAAATCATCTTCGGATTCAGTACTACATGTACTAGTCCAACTTTTACATATGTTTTTTTTATTAGATTTTTGTTATGTTTGATGTTTTAAATACTACCGTACAATACTTATCTTCATAGAAAATTAGGTAATATTTGTACATGTAGGGATGTTATGCTTTTGTCCCTGTTTGTCCTTAAGGATGTACTTAGGTGAGGTTTTGGAATTTATGTTAGATGTTCGGACTCCTTGGTTTTTTCCCTACAATACAAGGTAAAATATTTTTCCCCATAACACCCATTTATCTTTTCATATAAGATTTAATAGCTCATAAAAGGTCATTTACCAAAATTTAAGCAGGTTCTAGATTTCTTTTCTTTTGATTTGAGACTCAAATAATACCAATGCAAATATAAGGTAAAAGTCCGAGTCAGCCTTTTCCCGCCATATTCTTAAAATCAAATATCTCGAAAAGGAGCTCCATAACCTATCAATATTTTTAGGTTATTTTGTTCCTTAACTAATGCTCTTCCGACTTATAGTATCAATTTTGAATTCTTGATTTTTTTAATTTCACCTTAATTGCCAATGAAAAATAAAATAAACTTCATAAATATACATGTATTGGAAAAGGTAGATAAACCACCAATGTTTCTCATTCATGATATTTTATACGACTGTCATACCAGTGAGAGGTTTAGCTAGCTATAAAACTAGGTTTAATCCATCATTTTATACAAAAGGAATGCCTGTATCAAGTCAGGATTATGATAGTTGTTTTCCATTCGTTTGATGTGTTTGAGCTTTTGATTTTGCCATTTGGTAAATGACTTTCCGATTTGAATTTTCCTTGGAGTTCGGTATTTATGTTATTTTTCCTTTTGTTATTGTTATTATCAATAATTTTGCAATTTTGTTATGTTAAGTTCAAAAGTTAAGATGTGTTTTTGTTTTTCATTTTTTTGATATGTTAATTTATTCCTACTAGTCTCAAAACCATTGAATTCTAAAGTTATTCAAATCAAATTGATTGTGTTAACAATTTTGTATTTCTTTAAATTCCATGGCATTTTACGGAATACGTTTTTGTACACATATACTATACTGTAAATTCAGTAATTTATGTTATGTTTTTATCTAATAAGTTCAAAAATGCTACCGGATGTCGCAGTAATCAGAATAATCATTTAAAATTCTGCAAAATAGGTTTGTTTGCTAACAAATACTGTCTCGTTCACACTGATTTATTCTTTTCATTGTAATCAAAATTTCAAACCGTCATAAAAAAATCAAGCATAATTCCTGAATGGAGAGTTATGACCCTTACATGATAATAATATCATATGCAAAACAAATGGATATATGAAAAATTTTGCAAAGACAAATTCATGGATAACATAGTATATGACGGCATCGAATGGTCACGTGACATTACAAACGCAAAACCTGAAAACAGTACCAGAAACCAAGTGTAAAAATTTTGTTTTCTCAAATGGTATTGTGGTGTAAACTTTGAATTTAAACAAGAATTCTCCCTCTCGATCATTTGTCATGTTTGTTATTTTTGTTAATTTTTATTTTCAATTTGAAAGTAAAAAAATTCATTACCTTGCCCCATTTCTTCGAACATAAAACAAAACCTCTGACCCCCTTTTCCAGGGTATAAATTTTTCTGACCCCCTCTTTATTGGCCGCCCTTAGAGATAAATAAAGACCGGTCCCCTATGGCATTGCAGTATTAGCCCATATTGTTACCTGTTATGCCTATGTTCAGACGCTAATCGCTCCTAACAACATTTAATTAAATAAAGTTTTGTTCAATAGATAATGCACTATACATCAAAATTTGCGGTAAACAAAGAAAGGTCCATGTGCTTGGTTTGTTTTATCTGCGTTACCGGCAGTTGCATTTTTTACGGGAAAGTGTCCTATTTCTCATGGGAAATGTATGAAAAATCAAATGTTTAACTATATGAAAAATATATATAAAAAACCATAATGTTATAGAACAATTTAACAGTGTTCACCAGGTCATTTTGTGTCCATGGTGATCTAACGTAAAGGACAAAATAATTGTTCATTCTTACCTAACAAGAATATGTGAAAAATTCAATGCAATAAATGACAGGATGACTAAAAAAGAGGCGGACAATACTAAATGGAGAATCCAAAGTCGGAGAGAGACCGATAAATTACGGCAAAAAAGAAAACAAATGATGAAAAGACAAACAACAGTTCCACAAAACACTACATAAAAACAAAAGACCGAGCAACACGAACTCCACCAATGCTCTGAAAGGGTTATCTTGATTTAATATTGTATGGCGAAAAGTCTGAAAATCCTGCAACAGCGTCACGTAACACAGTGGCACAAATCAATTCACTCCGTAACAGTTTCGTTTAAAAACATTAACGGCACCAATTTTACTGCATCAGATGCGCATATCGACAACAAATGTCTCTTTCTTGATTCTTAATATAACAATATTTGTAAATCCAAACCTTATTCAAAACATTGAAGAGCTGATAAAACCGAAAAGGACAAAAAGCAAAGCAAAAGCCATTCAATTAATCAATGCATGGCCAATATTGCCATTTAATCTGATATTTAAATACTGTTATGCAATAGCAAAAAGTCATTTATTCCGTTATCATAAGTGAAGCATGTGATTTGCTATCAAACAACATAGCATACATATCTGAAGTCGTGAACAAATTAAACTAAATAAAAACGTGATTATTCTGGTATATTCTATTTGTTGTTAGTGTCTCTATGTCATTTAAATGATACCGAATTCCTTTTCAGTTAGTATAATTACCCGTGTATCTGTTAAATATCTAAAAGATGGCTCTTTGTCATTGTTATTCTGGTAGAACAAAACACTCTCTGAAGTATAAATAAAAAAAGTAAGCACAATACCCCAGCATGATAAAATCTCTCGGTAAGTGGCAGAAAGCACACCGAAAAAGTTATAACTATCATTATTCATCGTGTCTGTTCATAACACAAAAGGTAAATAATTGACTGTACAGATGGGAAAAAATACGGAAGCTTGTTTCCAAAGGTATCGTGATTTTAATCCTTATATGATAATTATAGTTCAAAAAGTTCTTACTATAACAACAAACGATTCCTTCGTTAAAAAAACTAAATGGTTCGTACTTTCTAAAATAGTTCAGCATCCCATATTTTATCATAATTTCAACGAATTTTGAATTAAATTTTTCCCTATGACAAAATCATGTTAATTCTCTTAACTGCAAATACAATTTGCCATTTAAATTTTAGTCTTAAAGACTAAAGTTGAGATGGCAAATTCTAAAAAGTAAAATAGCAAAAATACCGAACTCCAAGGAAAATTCAAAACGGAAAGTCCTTTATCAAATGGCAAAATCAAAAGCTCAAAAACATCAAACGAATGGAAAACAAATGTCATATTCCTAACTTGGATTATATTCAGATAAGGGTGAGGTTTGGTACCATTAAAACGTTTAAACCCGCTGCAATTGTTTGCACCTGTCCTAAGTCAGAATCTGATGTTCAGTAGTTGTCGTTTGTTGATGTGGTTCATAAGTGTTTCTCGTTTCTCGTTTTTTATATAGACTAGACCGTTGGTTTTCCCGTTTGAATGGTTTTACACTAGTAATTTTTGGGGCCCTTTATAGCTTGCTGTTCGGTGTAAGCCAAGGCTCCGTGTTGAAGACCGTACTTTGATCTATGATGGTTTACTTTTATAAATTTTGACTTGGATGGAGGATTGTCTCATTGGCACTCATACCACATCTTCTTATATCTAAACCTGGTTTTATAGTTATATGTCTAAGTTTAACAGTAAACATTTATTGTGTAAAATGTTTTGGATTTTAACTGAACAAACTACAAAAGTATAAGACTAAAGAAATTTTAGAGCATTTTACGTATTTTATTGGAGAAAACTGAACAAAAATTTTTGAGTAGCTTGCTATTTATAGGTGTAACTTGTTTTATATAAAAAAAAAAAAGTGATAATTTTTGTGCCTAGTTATTTTTGTTTTATTACTAGCAGCACAATAGGCCATATTGCCGAATAAATTGAATATAAAGAAACCCTGCCTTGCCCCGTATATGGACCTTTGGATCCCTTTCCTCATTTTTAATAGTTGCAACTCCACTTTGTCTTGTAACAAAGAAATATAAAGACTTCGATCTGTTCCCATAAATCGTTACATCGAACAAATCACTTCAATCAGTTCAGAACAGCAAAATTGACAGTGAAGCTGATCTCATTGACAAAATAGGACAAGACACGATTCTTATCTCCTGTGTCATCAAGTCAGCCTTTCTACATTTTCCTATTACGTCGAATGATTTTGACAAAATAGGCATGATGGTCTTAGGAAATTGCTACTTTGACAAAATGGATCACTTTAGGATTTTTTTAGCTATCTTTAAGAAATTCTAGAATACTCTGCAATGTTTGACAACAGCTAAGAACGAAAACACTTACATTCTATATCATTTCAACGATTACTTATTCGTTGAATTTTCAAATGCATTCACGGTATTAACAATATTTTGGCCTGTTTTGATGACGATCTCCGGAATTTTATCGTCTTGTGGCCCCTAAAAAATAATTTCCAACTGTTTCATTATTCGATCTGGATTTTTGCACTGCCGTAAAATTAAAGGCTTTTATGAGACCACTTTATTGTTTCATTGGTAGCGAGAAGGTTGGGAGTTACAAGCGCCTCCATAGCAAACAAAACGATAGCAGATCACATAGTTCTGTTTATTGATCTACTATACCATTTAAACCATACTAGGTCATTAAAGCTGATTTTACTCTGTTCAGTATTCACCCTTGTTTTTTTTCGCACTTCTTGGAGTGAGTTAACTTACAAAAACTGCATCATCGTAATGTCAATATAATAAACAAAAACCTACAATAGGGAATCCATTGGTCAAAAACACAAAATGAGAACAATATATAGACCACAGGGACAATAAGTCTCATAATGCCCCAATAAACCCTGAACAGATATCATGCCAAAGTAGAAAAGCACGGACCTATATGACCATTTTGACCACTCGTCTTTTACAAGATATCGATTAAAATGTGCGCTTAAGAAGGCTCATACATTCAATAAGGTCATTTACGCCAACATCACCTCCGCTTAAGGACACAATTGAACAAAACGACCAAAAATCGTATTATTCACTTGGAAGGAAGTGTTATTTCACGGTACAAAAACATGGACATGGAACTGTTTGCAAAGGATAGTACTCATCTGTCAAACTTAAGAAAAGTTTATGTAAACAGCTGAATCCTAAAAAAAATAATTTAGTGTGTAGTAAAGTTTTTGTGTATGATATAAGGTGTTCATAAGTATCATGTTTAATTCAATAAAGGCAACAGAAGAATACCGCTGTTCAAAAGTCACAAGTTACACCTATAAATAAAAAAGTCATAAATCGATTGAGAGAAAACAAATCCGTGTAACAAACTAAAACCGAGGGAAACACATCAACTATAAAAGGAAAACAACAGAAACACTGAAGTGCAACAAAAGCAAACGCCAACATACATAGAAACGAACTTTTTGATAACAACTGCCATATTCCTGACTTAGTACAGGACATTTTAAAAAAAAATGGTGGGTTGAACCTGGTTTTATGGCTAGCTAAACCTCCCGCTTATATGGCAATGTAAAAAATATCGCTAAAATGACAACACTACGTGACAGAAATACAGCACAAACAAAGTCGACAAACTCAACAAAATATAAAAGTAAAACAGTAACTGATATTGCATCAAGCAAGCATGACAGGAAAATACACCATACTAGCTCGTCAAGCAGCTCCCTGTCTTGTACGAATGAGAACCGCTATTATCTTGAGACTAGCATCCTAATTATACAAATAAAAAAGTGAATCAGTCAAGTTAGACAAGAGTTTCTTCAGGCTGGATTTTATATTGTGTTGTTACCTTAAGTGCTGTAAGTAATACTTACTTTGAATTTGAATAAAAAACAAAATTAATTGCAGAACAGCTATGAGAACCATAATTGTAACTAAGCCCAATATTGTTTGTAAAATATTATTCTTTTTCTTCATATTCTTTGATATCCTGAAAGAAGAGTAAAAAAGAATTGTACCATTTCTGACCACACTTTCGAACGACCAGGATAAAAACAAGACTTTTGTATGGAGACTTGGCAAAATTTGAATAAAGTTCCATTTTTTTGCTTTAATATTTGTCATGTATGTTACAACTGATTATGGCTAATTATGTGCCGAACGACCTTGTTATCTATTGAAAATACTAATTGCCTCTAATCAAACAAATCCCCTTTCAATTTCGTTTTGTGTTTAAATTATCTCATATAAACTACTTCTATTGTTTCGCTTTGACATTTTTGATTTTTGTTAAGCTAGCATTTTTTTCTAAACTGATTATGTACTAAGCATGTTCAAATATAACGACCGTGCTATCTTTTCAAAAACACTAATTGCCTCTAATCAGACAAACCCCCTTTCAGTTTTGCTTTTGTTTTTAAATTCCATCGTATAAACTAATTGACAATGTAATTAGGTATCATTAATTAGTAACCAAGCAAAGATATATTTGTCGTTAATTTCTTGCATTGAAATTATGTAATGGATTGTTTTTGGCATTTTAAACGGTCTTTCTCGTTTGAATTGTTTTACATTTTTCATTTCGGGGCCTTTTATAGCTGACTATGCGGTATGGGTTTTACTCATTGTTGAAGGCCGCACGGTGACCTATAGTTGTTAATTTCTGTGTCATTTGGTTTCTTGTCTCATTGGCAATCATACCATATATTCTTATTTTATATTAGCCTTGCTTTACTGTTTATAACATTCATGAATCAATTGTTGTACGAATTTCAGCTATCGAAATAAGAAAGTTGGACGGCACGGTTCCATATCAGCGTGTTAAGTTCTTTGAACTTGCCTAAAATTTAGTAATTTCATTCCATGATACAGTACTGTTTATTATTACTTTATGTGTGTTTGTGTACCTACGTTATAGAGCCAAGTGCTGTTCCTGTACTATTTTTTTATCGCATTTTTTATATACCTTTCGTTGGCAAAATGATTGAGAAAAATGGAAAGGATTGAAATCTAAAAAGTTTTTCTCCATCACTTTTTCACATGCCTGCCCGAAGTCAGGAACATCGTCAGTGGTTTTCTTTGTCTATGTAATCTCTAAATGTGTGTGTTACTGTGGTGTTGGTGGCAATTATCTGATTGTCTCTTGTTTATTTTTCAAATTTTAAAATATTCCTTGTACTTATAAATTAAAAGAGGTCCATTACAAATGTATCCTTTAATTTCAGTTTTTAAAAGTGTGTTTGTTTCAACTTAAAAGACACCTGCAGTATTTCACGCATCAGTTATTTCAAAGCGTAAATTAAATATATTAAAAAAAACATCTCGTAATTTTTTTTCAAATTGGTCATTTGATATAATTATTTTACAATATTAAAATTGTAGTACGTCTTACAATTAAGTGCAACAGATATAATTTATTTAACATTATAGCACAACATTGAGGAATAATGTTAAACTGTGGCAAATCCGAGAGAAAACTCATTGATCCATGTTTTAATATTGGTTTTGTTGCACTGTTAGAAGAAAAGTAACCATATTATTGTCACAATAAGTGATCGTATTAGATTATTCTAACACAAGACGTGTTTATATGTCATTATATACCTATATAGAGTTATTTCCTTTCAGAACGACAGGTCATTTTTTGAAGAAAAAAAAACCAATCCGGACGATACCATGTTTCAATTAAATGTGCTTCAAGGCATAAAATATTGACCTGTGTAAGGTAATTATTTTCCCTTATCAAAATGCAAACAACAGTTTATACTAAATCATTTTATTCTTTTGATAATTATCGTGTCGTATGTCAATTTTGGATTTTACTTTTCAATTTTCCATCTTTAATATGTCTTAGACAGAAACAATCCTTTCCTCCGTTTATTAGACTGAAATACCAAAAAACGTCGTAAACGCATATTTCAAATTTCGAAACAAAAAGTTTTGTTAATTTATCCAATGTCAATAAAGGGACATTGTGTGAGAAATATATAATAATACAAACCTTTTCATAACACCTTTAAAACAAGCCAAATGTTTCACATTTCATGTGTAAGATTTTTTTGTAAACAGAAGTATACAGTCTTTTTGGTTCACACTGTATTGTAAACCGTTCTTTTGTCCGTTTTCGTGATACATACATTACGATTGTGTGCTCTTTTCGGGCCAGTTCTTGATTTTTAACCTTTTTCTCTATCAACTGACAAATATCAAAATTTGTTCGATAAAGGAACAGCCACGTTCTTCATAATAGGGGGGTTAATATTTTATCATGAGTACCAATCATTGAAGAAAAAATTGTATTGCCAGACAAAAGAAAGTAAACAATCATTCTGAAAAGTTCGGTAAAAATTGTTGAAAAAATATTCCGTGGTAAAAGTGGTATAAAACAATAGAAATTTAAAAACATATCATCCCCCTTTTATGAAATTACTTTCAAAGGGACTTGTTTTGTTCATACCCCATAACATTTCATTTGTTTCTTTCTTCATGTGATAAAAGTAATTAACACTTACAACTTCCCGTCCAATCAAATTGCTTGAATTTGCCTTCTAAGTTTCATAGTACATACTACATACCTTTTCCGTGTACTAAGTAACTATGCATTAATGACCACAAGGGTAAGATTTCATTGAATCGTAATCAATATATTGAAAACAAAAATTCCCACTTATTATTTTGGGAATTAAATGCTGTGTCCCAAAATAAACAAATAGCAATGTTTGTAATTAGTTTTAACATTTTTTAAAATTTTCATTTATCCTGCTTAAATAATCTTTGTTTTTAAAAAATATTTCTGACCATTGCAAGCTTCTTTCATTTAAATAGAGAACAACTAATATGGTCCTTAATACTTTGATAAGAGTACAAAGCTATCTTATAATTTCGGTTATTTATCATCCATGCAACAATTTGTACACAAAAAAGTTAAAACGTATGTACTATGAAACCTTGTGAAGGAAAATTAAGGCAACTTGATGATATTTTTTTAAGAATTTGATTCATTTCATCATGAATTGAAAAACTGCGATAATGTCTGAAGGGAATGTGCTACCTTTATCTTTATTCTGATAAATGTTTCAGTTTTTATTTTGGAAAAAAAAACTATAATCTTTGATCTATTGGTAGTTGCTTTTAATGCCTATCCGCTAGACTATCTATGAGCACATGTATCTATATTTTTTCAAATATATTATAGCTTTCGTTTTACTGTGAAATTGAAAAATGTTTTCAAAACATGTACAGCTCCCGCTGTAATTTAATTATATATGCCAGTTTTTGGTCAATTAATTTTTTCATCTTACCATGAAAAGAAGTACATGTAGTAAGACACTGCTTTATATTAATATACATACTGACACCAGCAGCTACCATCTTTTCATTCTGGAGTCAAGGGCCTTTTGAAATCTCATATTTTATGTGAGATTGAAATATAATCCGCTACTTTCCCAATTCGTGTTTGATGCATTTATAAACTCATAATCTAATAAATCACTGTCACTCAGTAAATTTACAAACTAGGAAACTTAGTTAATGAACTCTGTTTTTTATAAACACCTTTCATACAAGTAGTCAACCAAAATAAACTATCAATAGACCAATTAAAAGATTACTTGAGTCGTAAATATGTACTAAATTGGATAGTTTATGAAAAGCCCCTCGCTTAATTTGATAGTACACACCTTGTCATAGACTAACCGATACTATTTTTATTGTAACTGGACAGTGATTTCTATAGTTAATAGGTGAGTTTAATTTCACATTATAAATGAGCCGTAGGGTGTATTTAAACCTTAACGCATTAGAAAAGATTGTCCCACTTTAATGGGATCGGTAGAATAGAATACAATCCGGCAAATCTTTGCAGCAAATAATACTTTTTTGCGGGATATAAGTAAGATAATGCACATTTTTTATGTTTTCTTGTATATTACGCTTGTATCAGGATTTCCCAAAGATTTACCTCCCTGCGCTCGTCCTTTCATTTGGTTAATCCTGACACCCGTCGGTGTGTTCGGTGCTTTGCTATTGCGCTAATTGGCATTTTATTTGCGCCTCAAACCATATTTTATTTGCGCAAAAAAAAAAACATTTCATTTGCGCCTATACTACAGGTAAATACAGGTAAATAGTATTAGTAATAGATTTATTCAAAAGAGACTTTTAATAATGACTTTAAAACAGTTTTTGTTTGCGTAATAACACATATTCATCAGAAATCAGGCATCATAAATCCATGATGAAAGCACTATACACTGATAAGAGGCTTTTCATAATAATGTTAAAACACAGTTCTGTTATAAATCAACGTTATAAATCAATGTGATCATAAAACCTAAAAGAATGCACTATACACTGAAGTGTTCGCTCAAAAAACTTCTTCTAAATTTATAAAAATGTATTCGTGCATATGCAGATAAATAATATAAGTATTATTCTATGTTTAATTAGGAAAATAGATTTTGAATTGCATATTGCAAATGCAATGTTGTATCGTATTTGGCAACGCAAAGAGAATTTACCTTGTAGTTCTGTAAGTATAACCTTTGATGACCTTTAAGTAATGTCACCAGATGTTTTTCGAACTCTGATTCTGAATTGTTGTGATTCACGATATAACATTGACTCTTTTAACTTGTCCGGTATATGTAAACTGTAAAATGGCGCAAATATAGTTTTTTTTATCTTTTGGCGCAAATGAAATATAATCTTGTGGCGCAAATGAAATAAAATGTGTATTGAGTTAGGCTTTGAAAACTTATCAGATAGAATAGTAAATTGGTTTTATCTTAGTTATCATGGGATCGAATCTAATCGATTTAGGAATGAAAACTTATGTGTCATTGGTCTTTAGTTATAGATGATCTTCCCACTGCGACTTGTTCACTCAATCATAATAAAGAATTCGCAGTTCGCTTACTACGTTTATACTATGAATAAAATGAACTTTATAAATGTCTTGTTATTTATTTGAGATAATTTTTTTCTTCGGTTAACAGAATTTAAAGATTTTAACGGTCAGTGGAGTATTTATCAGAAATGTAATGTATATTGAAAATCATATCAAAATATTCAACACCATGCTTAACGGGTTAGTAGATAATAGTACATTGATTTGCTTTTCATACCTTTTATGTGTCTAGTCTCCATTGTAGGCAAGGAATCATATGCAGATACATGCGTCATGTGCGATATAATAGTTGTAAAAGTGTTAAAATTGGGTTACAACCTCATTGTGGTTTCCTATATTTTAAGGTGCGAAGTAGCCAGGGCTTTGATTATAAAGTATAGATAAAGGTTAGGCTGGTCCTCTCCCTTGCAACATATACCTTTGTTGTCTGTCAGAGCCAAAAAGATAAAGGTCAGAGAACCAGTCTAAGATAAAGGTAAAACATTTCTTTTTCTTAAAAGTTACCGCGTTGTCGGGAGTTTCCTCTAGATGATCCATGTTCATAAAAACATGTAGTTAAGATAAGTTAAGTTAAGTTTCATCCTTGTGACAAAATACATGAAATCATAGCTTTTTGCTACTTTCATCTCAATCATATTCCAAGAGTAATTTTCATTGTTAATGCCATTTATTACGAAAGAAATCGGCACTGGTAAATTACTATAAACCAACTAATTTCCGCGAGCGATTTATTTTCGCGACTTTCGTGAGAAGGAAAATAACACAAATATAAATCGTCGCGAATATGTAAAACTTGGATCTTTCCTTATTTAACTACATCAAGTGAATTAGAACATAGCGAAATTAAATCGCCGCGAAGTGGACTAAAAAGGACTAAACGTGAAATAAAGTATCCGCAAAATAAGTTAGTTTACAGTTTACTGATTGTTTTAGTCGCAAACTCATACATATAGTCCGTAAACATCAGTAAAGTTATAACGAAAGTTGGGATTCCGTTTGATCAGACCGATAGATTTCATCAATTTGTTTGAAAATATTCACCCCCTGCTTAAAGTATAGCTTGCATGAGGGAAAACTGATTTATTGAAAAAGGTGAAATTTTTTATAGACTGTAAAGTATGGTGTTCCAAGTTAAATATAGCGAACTGTGGGGAAATACACAATTATTCAGGTGCTGTAAAAGCAGAAAAAACTTACATCAGACATTTTCTTTATTTGTTCATATCTTGCACTCAGGATGAAGGTGTTACCAGAAATTCAAGAAAAATAGTGGTTTGCTAGTTTGATTTAGGCAGAGATGTAATTACCTTTTTTTAACAAGCCATAAAAAGTTCTACTTACATGTGAAACAAATTCGTAAACAAACATTAACCTGACAAATTTATACCATAATTCTAAACTAATTAGAAAAAGGAAAAAAAATCACACAAAAAATTATAATAAAACTTACCTAAATTATTAGTTAAACATATATCTGAAACACTTAATTCCCTTTTTTCAGATGCAGATTTATAACTGGCAATTTCCAACTAATGTATGTGAATATATAAAAATGGAACGATCGATTGATTATAATTTTAACAATTTCAAAATGTTTGATACATGAAAAACGACGTCTTTCCCTATATAATCTATTCAAATTTAGGATTATGCATATGTTGATATTTAAGGCCTTAGTAAATTGACTGATCCAATTTCAAATAATTCAAACCAGTCATTGAAAGGTAATCTTACAGTACATATAGCGTAAAAGATTACACTTTTTCATCCGTGTGTTGTTCGTGTACCGTACATACAGCATCCGTGCATCGTCCTTACAATGTACGGGAATTGTTTGTGCAGTTTTTGGGACATTGTTCGTACAATTTTGATGAATAGTGTTGTTAAAAGAAGCGTTTCGAAAATAGTTTTATTTTAAGGTTGACACATAAAGTGTAGTACAGAGCTTTGGTAAAAGCGTGGCATCATTGAGAGGATGGGATATAATATCGTTTATCTACAACATTTGGTATCGTTTAGGGAACGTATATGACATCATTTAGCTAAAATATATGAAATCATTAAGCTTAATATTATATTGTTTAGCTTTTGAAATTGATATCGTTTATATATGATGAGTTTATTTAGCTATAGGTTATGGTTACGTTTAGCGAACGTATATGATATCGTTTAGCTTTAGTGTATGGTAAATTAGGTGAGGGATTATGATAACATTTAGCGAAATTATTTATGGTAACTTTAAGCATTATCATGGTAAAGAGAGGCGAAAGATACCAAAGAGATATTCACTGAGTGGTAAATGGCATATGCCATTTTCCCTTTTTTAAACCCCAAAAATATTTAAAGGAAACATAGCCAAGAACCCAAAAAATGAATGAAACAAAACTTTCAAAAACAAAAATAAATTAATAAAACATATTAATATAGTTCAAAAAAGTTATAGATAGTACAAAACGGTATAGGAAATTTTAATTTATTAAATAATTTATCAAAAATCTAAATTATTATTGTTTTGGGAGTGTACTTGATAGTGTTTTAGTTCTTTTTATATTTTTGTTTAAAATGTATTGCAATTTCCGAACTTTATTGATATCTATAAAAAATAAATGTTTCTAAGTATTTGTTCCAACTATATATTCTAAAATCGAATCATTCCTTTAATTGGAGGACGTAAAAAAAAGAAACTAAATTGAAAATAAAATTCACGTTTTCTTAAATGCGCGAGTAAGATGAAGATAGATAGTTTTGCTGTACAATTGATTGAAGCTATTCCCAGAATTCAAGTATCGAAACAAATTGATTTGTAAATTCAGTACATCCTTATGGAATTTATTAATTTGATTTAAGGATGTTCACTACTTTTGTTTTTGAAATTTTGTCAGATATTTGGAATCCTCTAGTTTTATCCATTTAGTGCCATTAAAACTATTCCCCGTTAACCCCTACTTTTCTTTTCATAATTTTAATACATATAGTTTGTAATGTCATTTTTGAAACTCTTATAAAATCCTTGTTCTTTTTTTTTTTTAAGTGTTTAGGAAAGAAAGGTGCCAATGTTGAATAAGACTTATTCGATGGCGACGTTTTTATTTACGAACGTATTTATTCAAAGGAAAATTGTAATTTATGTTTTAAGTATGGATTCGATTCTGTGTGATACTGTCCCTAACACGAACAACATGCGAAACATACCCGTAATGATGTAGCGTAGCTAATGACTTCTCAAATATTTGATACGGTTAATGATTTGTATACATTTTAAACTCTATAGAACAGAGAAAGAAATTGGATTTAATCATATTGAAAGTGTTATCCCTTTTTGTAAATATTCACATCAATTCATGCGGTATATTTAATTTTCATTTTAAACGTAAAACTTCTGCGGGCAAAAAATTGATGCAAATGAAAGGACATATCATCTTCACTAATACTTCGGAAATACAATCAAAGATTAATAAATTTTCTTTTGTTTTGACATTTCAAAATACATATGGTTTATGATTCTATTCATTTCCATCCCATTTCCGGTATGTCTGATCCATACGTCTGGCGTATTAAATTATAAGCCTGGTACCTTTTGATAGCTATTATGTGGATGTGTCTCAGTCCTGTATGTTCTCCCATTTATTTGTATTGTAGTCCTGTCATGTAATATTGTCATTTTAATGTTATATTTAACATTGCCATAAAAGTGGGAGATTTGGCTAGCCACAAAACCAGGTTCAACCCACCATTTTTTCTTAAAATGTCCTGTACCAAGTCAGGAAAATGGCCATTGTTATATTATAGTTCGTTTCTGTGTGTGTTGCATTTTAGTGTTGTGTTTCTGTTGTGTCGTTGTTCTCCTCTTATATTTCATGTGTTTCCCTCAGTTTTAGTTTGTAACCCGGATTTGTTTTTTTCCCAATCGATTTATGAATTTCGAATAGCGGTATACTACTGTTGCCTTTATTTAAACATAGATATTTTATAAGTCAGTATGACTAACGCCATTTTTATCGTTATAGCTCAATAACCCATGGTATGTCATGGAGGGGCACAATTTGTTTAAGCGCAAAATTACTTGGTGTTTTTAAAATTATTAGAAATATATATCTGAGCCGTGAACAAAGCATATTTCTTAGAACATGTCATTACTACTTCTGAAATTGTATTTCATCATTGACCGACAACAACAGCTTTACATTGTCGGGAATGGCGACAGGGGCTTTATAGAAACCCAAAGTTATATACAACGAAGGAATGTATAACCGATTTCAAGGTGTTACTGAGTTGAAATCTTCCCCAAAATAGTCCTAGTAAATACGTACTCATTAGAATAAAATTTGAGCAGGTGACAAAATAGAAAACTGAACCAGGCTATCACCATCATAGATTTCTAAAAAAATTCATTTAAGAATTGAATGCTTCTTTTTGTAAATTCATTGGGGTGTAAAATTGTTGACCGAAGTACATTTTGTAAAAATGTACGCACGGTCAACGCTTTTACAACCCTATGAAATTACCAAAAGAAGCATTCAATACATATAATTACATTTTTTCGCTATGATCATGAATTAACACGATTACTATCAAGTTTTTCTTTTATTTACCTGTGCATTTTATTGTGGAAACGTGTGTCATCATGTATGTTTCAATTCATGCAATTCATTTTGAAATGAAGAATGAAGCGAGATTGCTGTTAGCCAATCAAAATAACGTATAATAATGAAACATACATCTACTGTAATTATCATCTAACAAACTAGATATGAACGGATATGGAAAATTAAAATAAATAATCCAGGATAGAATCGAGAAAATATGCAGCTCAATAAGAATTTCCTCCATTTAAGATAATTGTTAAATACTTGTTAAATATATGGGTTAACCACCTTATACTCTAAAGCCAATGGGTACATTTTTGTACGTCAATGTGCTTATAAGGTAGATGAATTCCAACAAAAAAAAATTTATTGAAGTTTAACAGCTGCTCCCTAGAGTTTAACATTTAGAAAGATATGTGTCATTGAAACAAGCTTTATTTTGTGTATAATTTTGTCATTCAGTATACATAGTATAATAATATATGTGTTCACCTTTTCTCTTTCGATCATGCCTTGCGATAATATTCAAAACCTTTTCGTGTTTCAATTTACACTGTATAGCTAGCAAGCACTACATCATGCGATTTTGTTAGATAACTAATCAAAATCACAGTAAAACATGAAAAGTTCATTACCGATTAATTGCTAATTGCTAACTATTCCAGTCCGTCTAGTTATTGTAGCAATATAATACTGCCATGAATTTGTTACTATTGCCTAGGAATATGTCAAATACTTTCCTATATAAACAATATATAACATAACTTTGAATGTGAATAACTTTTGCATTTGTGTAGAGCGTTTGTTTGGATTAGTGGGTGGATACCTAAGTTGAGACATACATCAAAGTACTTTTGTAAAAGGAAATTCACAAGTACGAACGTTATAACTTATTTATTTCTCATGAAAACTTTTATTACGTCATTTGATCATACACTATTCATGATTTATCTTCAGTTGTTTTTTTTTTCATCTAAATTAACTAATATTTATAAAAACATTAAAATGAATGATTCATCACAGTGTAGTTTACAAAATAACAGTTACAGAGAGCGTGTGCTTAAACTACGTATAAACCAGATACAATGTTATGGCCTTGAAATTTTTCGAAATAACTTTTTTTAAAATACTTTAGGCTAGAAAACGGAATATACATGAAGGCTATTCAATACACAGGTTCTATCATTCATGATTTACGGTCACGCCTTGCAGTAAAAAATTCTTATCAAAAGAAAATTCATATAGCTTGTAATTCTTATAACACGCATAGCTGCGGTTATGCTATGGGGATTCAGAATAAATAAAAAGTAAAAAGAAATGATCAGTCTTTTTCTATGTGCACACAAATAATAATGTTAAGAATTTCAAACTAATGATTATTATAACATGTTTTCTATTCATGCGTTCTTTTGCATCTTTTAATCGTACGTTTAGGTAAAGATTGTTTTCAACCCTTGAACATACAGAAGATCAGCATATCAATGACATTTTACGTCTACTGAACTCGTTATACCCACGGACAAAAAGTCAACCAGCGGTGGCATCAAAAACGACCATTGTTATCCTAATAACGTCAGCTTAAATGTTCAGACATAAAAAAAAATAATGTCTTGTAATCAAGTTTTGTACTTTAGATTTTACTGATATTTTCCGACGGTATACCAATTACTATTTTGACAATTCACTCGAAGGTAATCCAGGACTATTGCTTATAAGCCTATTCCATATATTTCCTTTTTCAAGAAATAAATTCAGCTACGGATATGTTAATCTACCGTAAGCAAATTTATTGCGATTTATACGCCTGAATAATATTGAAAAAAACTTAGCCAGACACATTTAATTTTAGTTTCTTTATATGTTTTGGAGTTTAGTGTGACGTCCATTTTCACTGAACCAGTACACAATTTTATTTAGGGGCCAGCTGAGGACCACCTCCGGGTGCGGGATTTTCTCGCTGCGTTGAAGATCCATTTGGTGGCCTTCGGCTGATAGCTGCTCTTTGGTCGGGTTGTTGTCTCTTTGACATATTCCCCATTTCCATTCTCAATTT